CCGAACAAATTCATCTTCATGAATACTACGAGGAAGCTGAAGGCCTCTTATATGGTGCAGGAATCGCTGATTAGCAGATTATTGATGTAAGTAGTCAATAAATCAAACTTTTTCCGACCGCAAACTTTAAAGCGTGTTTTCTCGAGTTTTCATTTTTACGATTTTTCCTAAACTGCGTACACGATAGCAAAAAAAATATTTGACCGATCGACAAAAACCAAAGTGCATTCTCTTCACAACTAAATTTCCTTGAATATGAACTAAAAAAATTATTTAAAAAAGTCTTTTTTAATAATTTTTACATCATGTCAAAGTCAAATTTAAACATGTAAAAATGCATAATTTGTGTTTTTTCAAACTACAAATAATTATCATTATGCCTCTTTTTTCGGAATTTGTTTAGTTTATATAGAAGATATACATGTCTAAATTAATAATCCGTTTGATTTTTTCATTTCAGACAAGAATTACGAGCGGCATCGTGTACGCAGATGGACAACTCCAGAGCTGGGGCGCTCCACACAATAGCCTCTACATCCGCCATTTTCTATTAATATGCTCCATAAAAATTCACTTTATACCCTTTGAATACATATTAAAATGAGGCATAAACGCTTAAAAAGCTTAATTATTTTTTCCCTTCTAAAAAAATTCCCAAAATATTGCTATTTTTGGGCCTTGTAAAGCAGACTACCCCCTTAAGTAAATCTAAAACTTTATTATTATAAAAAGTCTTGTCTAAGGCTACGGTGACATTGCCCTTATCCGCGCGTGTGAATATTATATCTTCATTGTTATTGCACCAATTCGTAGTAGATTTTAATATATCATTGATTTTTTTGTTATGTATATTCATACGTGGATTGTTATGTAGGAACTGATGGAATTCAGGAATGGCGATATTCCTAATTTTTTAAACCAATGCTAAATTAATACGATTGGAGCAACTTTCTATATCCTTAATGACAGGGACGGATGGGGTATAATTTCCGGCCTGGGAAACTATCAAATCCGGCCGGCCCTGATCAAAATCTTCTATAAGGAAGGGGGGAGGAGAAACAAAATTCCATAATATATTAAAAAGAAACATTTATTAGTTAATGAACAAAATAAACTTTTCTCTTTGGTACTATATCACAAAATTAAAATAAACCATAATATAAATAATAAGGAACATAAACAGAAAATTGTTATTTTAATACTTTAGTATTGCCACAACTTAATAAATTAAAGCCTTTTTCAGTAACGTACTTTGCACTGCCAGACTGTTAATAACTTCGTGATTATCAATTTCATTTAAAATTGATTTCTCTATGTTCATAATCATAAAAGATTCCATTCGGTTATCCGTCAATTGACTTTTTAATATATTTTTTATGTACTTAAGAATTGAGAATGATCTCTCACATTCTACTTGTGATATTGGAAGTGTTAAAAAATATTGATATGCTGTAACAAGCGCAGAATACGCTCCCTGAAACATGTTGTATTTTAAAATTATTGCATAGCGGCATCTTGCACAATTTTTACAACTCTTGCAAGTATTTTTTCCTTTTTCCATACTACAAATTTCAGCATCATGAACCTCTACATAGTCTGAATTATCAATATTATCCGTATCATTTAAATCTGGGTTATAATTTATTTCATACGTATTTTCCAAAGTTAATTTTAATTTTTCCCAGTTTGTTACAAAACTTATAAGTTCCTCTTTTAACTTTGAAGAAGTTGCAGAAGAATTGTACTTTATTATTTTTGCGGACAAATAATTCATGCAGTTATCTGGTAGATTTTTCTTACTGCGTATTTCTTCAAAATGATTAGGGTCTAATATTACTAGATCCCTGCATATATCCATATTTTTCAAAAATCTTTTGCTCATAGCTTCAACGGCAGTATCTATTAACATTGAATGTAGATATTTTAAATTTTTCTTCTGCAGTTTGTCGTCGTTCGTCAGATGCTTTTTCGTCAAAAAATATTTTTACACTTCTTCGACGCATTTCAAAGAATTGTTCTTGAATATCTGCATCTATATTTCTTGAATAGAATTCTGATTTAGCCTATTCTATAAATATTTTTGTTGCCTCTTGGATAAAGATAAAGTCTCTCCGGATAGACCTAAGCTGCTTAATAACAGTCTCAATCATATGATTACATTTAAGTAGGTCTAAACCTTTGGTCTGCAAATATCTTGATAGAGGACCAGTTATACTAAAAATTCTTAAAAATATTTGAGCCGTTATATTCTCGTATTTTAGTAGACCATCTTTATGATTTTTAGCTATAGTTCTGGCTTCAGGATTAATTTTAGTGTTATTTTCAATTCTTTGTAAATAGTCAATGACATCAACATATAAACTATTTTCGGGTTTATTAAGCTCTCCAAATATTCTTTTTAACGCTGTTTCCTTGGCCCACCAACGAGTTGCGACAATACTCTGTATCTTCCTATGTTTGAAATCATTAGAACTGGACTCCCAAATGTTCATGCCTTGATATGATTCTTTGAAAAAGGAGGATATCGAATTTAATAAAAAAAGTGAAGCAGCCTTGATGTTTGCTTTCAGCACAAAGCACTAGGTTTAAAATATGGCTATAACACCAAATATGCACATGATCTGAGTTGTGAATTTGCATTTTCGTAGAAAAGTCGTTGTATTCACCTTGCATATTGGTCGCATCGTCTGTTGAATTTGCAATACAATTTTGGATACTTAAACCATTGCTTTGTAGTACGTTTAATATGATAGTTTTAAAACCTTTTCCAGTTGTGTGTCGACACATTGAACCACAGAAAATAATCGTTCGATAATATTTCCCATATACATATACCTGCAATAAATTAAATAAATGGAACAAATATTAAATCTTATAGGACCGTACATATGAGAAAACAATTAATAAGAGAAATAGCCTTTAACGGTCAAGCTGGATTTTAGGTGTTGTATTATAATTATGAATTTATATACTACGTAGTCTCCTAAATCGCGCGCCGAAAATTTTTCCATAATTTTTAAATAAGTGAAATTTGAATATTACAATATAATTAAAAAACAGTAATGCTAGGTTCAAAGGAATAAATCAATAATATAAAATAATGCCTATATGAGTCGACTCTGGATGTTCATGTGTGGAAAAACTTTATTCGAAGAATTACATTAATTGGTAAACGTTCGACCCTCGCTTCGGATCCTCTTCAGTACAAAATATATTAAACGTTATGAATGTTGTATTAAGGG